GGGTGCGCACACCGCACACACGGCTGGCTGTCATCCGTTGACAGTTTTCCTGGCTGAGCATTCAGTTGTGGTCCCTTCTGGGAGCAATTACTCCCTTACCAGGTCCACACTCCCTCCTGATCAAAGATTTGCTTGCAGCTAAACACTAGTAATTCTTCTCATTTCAGTGATATTCATGCAATACTACTCAATCGTTCTGGCGTATCTTTCTCTCACAAGCTTCGAATGGAATTTCAACAACTACAAATCTAATTTTTCAGCTGTTCAATAATATCATCAAAAAGTTGGAATTATGATGGACGACGAGGAGGATGATGATAATTTTTCCGATGAGGACAGCTATGATTTTTCACTTGAGGACAGTTTTGCGCATTATTCTGACACGTCACTGTCGTCATACGCCGATCCTGAGGCTGAAATGTTTCCAAGTAAGCAGCACACACCATATGATTGTTAGAAATTTAGAGACTTTTTACAGATACAGATTACGAATCGTTTTAGATTTGTCTTACGAACATTTTAAGTAAAATATGCTTGAAATCAGTGAAATATTATCTGCATAATGGCAACCAATATGAATGGTTTCTATATGGGAATATTTATGAACAGATAACTATGTTGGTTTCAGTACCAACATCTGCATGTACCGTAACAGCACTAGAGTCAAATTTATTTGTGATTGGTGGATGGAATCCGCGTCATACTGATGATCATGAGGATTTAACGGATCGTGGATATGTTCGAACGGTTGCTTATCACCTCAGTAATTGCAACTAATACCTCCCTCCCCGTCTTAATATGACTTCTCAGTTTTGTGTTCTTTCATTCATATATATTCACAAGTAATTAGGCAATAGATACAAGCCAAACGATAGCATAGTTCAGGCTCACAACAACATCAATGATATTGGTACACCACTCGGTTTTCAGCGAAACTTTCCTAAGTGAACGAGACTTCACAAGTACTCTAGATTGTTTTCTGATAAGAATGCTGGATGATAGATAATCATAAGCTATGAACATATTCATTACAGATGTTAATAGATTCATTACAGATTTACAAATACAACTTATATTTGGATCTGTGGACAACACATGATTTTGATCGGGGCGAGCAAGGTTTTCCGATCGAAACAGCATGTCACTGCACGTTTGAACTGAACAACGACAAACTGCTCGTTCTGGGTGGAAGTTTATCACCGATCGGTCACAACGCGAGTTCAGATCGAATGTACATTTATTCCGTGAAGTGAGTAGTGCACTTTTCATGCGTGCACATGCTTCGTTGCTATTCGCTTCATCAAAACTTTTCATGATTGATTTCATTGAATGCTCAAAACACCATTAATCTCAATGGAAACTACCGTCGATGATATCTCGAAATATTTGAAGAAGTCCCCCCACCCCCCTTCCCAAGAAACAAATTGTGCATTTCTTTGCGATCAAAAAAAAAACGAGTAATTTTTTTCCAAGCACAATGAGAGAATTCATTGAAGTGAACAGAAACGATGGCATCATTGTTGTACAGACTGAAAATAATCTAAAAATCGCAAAATTCAAGGAATAAAACATGGCACGAAATCGAGAATACGTGCGCGAATGAGAATAAAATTAAACGTGACGTAAGTCATTGGTGGGGTCGAGCAGCTTATTTGGATGATGGCAGTAATACACTGACCATCTGTACTGGTAACAAGAGTACATTCGAACTGGAAATACATCAACTTCATATGAACGAGTGTGTGAATTATTTCTTCTGACTTACTTCAGACCAGTTCAGTGTGCCTAGCTGAAGTCTGATCGTTTGATCTGTTAATGTATAGCTGATTGGCGATTAAATCGGCGATTCTTAACGATTTTTGCTTACATCTGAATTACTCCAATATGTAAAGTTACGAACAAAGAAGACTTTTGGATCGAATTTCACAAACGAAACAATTTCAGAAAGCCGTATCGTTGGGAAAAACTGTCACCGGCAGGAAATGATGCACTTCGATTCGCTCTGATCAAGCATCAAATCGTTGTTTATGACGACAAAGTGTTTGTGCTTGGAGGGTCAATGCATGTGAGTGCCTTGTTTTGGATCATATCTTCTCCTTTCATTTGGAGTTTTACAGATATTTATTTTGGAGAGAGTGTTCAGCTGATACGTAATGAATGTCACATAATAAAGGGGATAAAAGCTCTGGCCTCGTGTTCGCAACTTTATGTGGATGCGAACGGTTTTTGTTTTGAAAATTTAAAAAAAANNNAAAAAAATGTTGATTTTGAATCGAGTTATGAAACTTTGAAATTTTGGCTCTAACTGCTCGATAACTTTCTGCCATACCAAATAATGTAGCAATCAATCGAAATAATTCAGTTTATGAGTACGTTTCGAGATGAACGTTTCCACGCATCATTGACCTCAATACCAACATTCGATTTAATCACCAAAAAGTGGTCGTATACAGAATGCTCAATCGATAACATTGAGTATGCAGACGCATGGCCTTTTGCTCCGTCTGTCGCCAGTAAATCCAATTTTGTTTTCTTAACAGGTACTTTCACACTCATTTATTTATCACCATCTATTATTATTATTATTCATAATGATACCATTATGATTACGATTCCCTTGCTAAAGATCAGTTCACTCAAAAATATTTTCTAAAATGAAACAATTGTTATGAGAATTTCGATTACTTTCAGTGTGAATACAGCAATGTGTAATTTGCAGATGCGCATTTTTGAATGTTTTTTAATTGAGTCCAAAAAGGAAAGCAGAATCAGTTCTCTAAATTCAACACAAATATTTGTTTTGGCGTGATAAAAACAAGATATAAAATGAATATGAGAAGATGATACACAAACGAAAGTGTGCCTTTTGAGGAGGATTACTGCCTAACGGTGATCGTTTGGTCGATGTTTTACGTTTGGATTTGGTCAAAAAGCAATGGATCACATTTGCTAAATTGAAAGGTTACAATTATAACAGTCATAGTGATATAGTAACGATAGACCTTTGATAATAGTAACAACATTATTATTATTATTATACTGGCGGCAGTAATAAGTTATACGAGATAAGCTAATGAAACTAGATGCTACGACTGTCATAACTTAATCACCTAAAAGCACTAAACGAACAGCTTAAAACATTCAGGTGATGGACGATTTTTCCATGCAAGCTGCCTTACAAAAGACAACCGATTGTGTGTCTACGGAGGGTGTTTGGAGGCAAATTATGAGGGGGCACGTTCGAATGAAGTCGAGTTGTTTCAGTGCTTTGTACCGACATTATACCACTGTGCACTGAGTGGATTATTCAACCCGAAATTCCGATCGTATCTAATCGAGAAATACAAAGCATCACATGACAACGTCCAAGTTATTATCGATGAACTCAAGAATATGTCATTGCCTAACTTTGTGCTGAATGATTTGTTTGGTGTTTGTTGAAGAAATTTCTCATTATCAATTCCCTCTTTAATGATATCGGTACACCACTCGGTTTCAAGCAAAACTTTCCGTTCGCGGAGGAAAGTTTTGCTTGAAACCGAGTGGTGTACCAATATCATTAATGTTGTGAGCCTGAGCCAGGCTATGATCCGGCTTGTATCTATTATCCAATTCACTCTTTGTTAAAATCTTCTCTCCAAATCTATATGTATGTAAATATGTATATACTCGAGTACTGATAATCAGGCACCAGAGCTCGACAGGTACGCATCGCATCGATTTTGTGTTCAGTCAAGAATTTTGCCATGTATTCGGCAAAAATGAATTTCCGCAAAGCGTTCCATTGTTCATTTCCTAACGGAACCCAAACTGCGTGCTAGTCACAACAATTGATATATTTTTTGCATATGATTTTATTTCATCAGAACATTTATAAATGATCCAATATTGTTATCAATAAATAACTTTTCAATGTCCTTCCTATTCTCCCACTTACACCGTTTGAATTGCAATGTTAAAAAGTCTGTGATACATTCTCATATTCTGATAAATCTCGACGACACGTATCGCTCAACTCTATCGTTAACATTCGTTGTTCAATAAATATTTCTTAATGAAGCCAAAAATGAAAAGATTCTGCAAAACACAGCCATCAATGTGAATAAAGAGAAAATCGAGCAACAGTCAAAGCTGCAACCTGAATTGGTTCACAAAGCCAATTCATCTCATCGAAGAATGACTGGACTGTGAAAATAATCCAACGTTTAACGCCTTTATTGAATACAATACGAATCGATTTCGATATTTCGAATGATCTGATCATAAACAACTCAAATAAACATTTCAAAACAAGAATGATTGCAGTGAAATTAGCGAAATATTTATTGAAATTCAACAAAATCAGCACAACAATTACATGAAAAACAACATTACTGAAGTTATTCCACTGAATAATATTGATAATAATAGGTTAAATGTTAAATTAAAAATAAGATCAATTACGGATACCGAACAAACAAACCAATTCAATAATAATACTACGAAGACGATAGCAATAAATAGATTCACAACATCACATCACATCACATCAAAAGTCTTGTTTGAACACAAATTCTTCTGTATAGCCATCACTGTTGATCTGACAATTATTCTGACAAGTGAACAAGAAGACACTCGCCCAGTCGATACTCTTCTGAATGTGATCAACACTGATCAACGACAATAAATAAGGCATTAGCTGTAATTCAAAACGACGAGCACCACCGCACAGCTCACAATTCGGTATCTCATCGGCACCAATTTTGGGCGCGTTATCAGTTGCATACAACGGTTTACCATTTCGCTCATAGCGTAATATTTGTTTGGGATTCACTGATATTATCTGAAAATTTGCGAAAATATCAGCCAACATTCCATCGATAATTATACTACCTAAATACATTACTCTTCAAAGAAAAACCAAACTGTATGAAAAGATGATAAACTGTGTGCTGCAATCAAGTGAATAGTTTAAAAGTTTCAATATAATTAACGTTGAATAACTCGAATGCTAATCAAACGATCCTCCATAACAATAATCTACTCAAAATCTTACAACCATATTAATAAAGAATAAGAGAAATTAACTGAAAAATTACTTTACTGAAACGACTGAATGCGTTGTCTTTTGCGATTGAATTCTCCACTTCTTCAAGTTCGTTTGATGGAATTTTACTCATCTCCTTAAAATGTTTACATTGCTCATCGAGCGTATTCAAATGATCGGTCTGAATCAAGTTTTCATGAAAGGAACTCATCCACAAAATGCTACAAGTCAATAATAACCTTCCGCTGCAATTCCAAATCAAGAAAGATGTACAGCTTTAGGTTGAGAACCGCAACAGTTATAAGTGAAAATCACAATGGCAAAATGAATGGATGGAAAAAAACAATTCAATCGAAAGAATTTCCCTTTTTTGCTGTGCTAACTTTANTCGATGAAAACTGATCACAAAACAAAGAAACGAACATGATGTTTCTTGAGATATTTCTTGTACTCGTTGATCTGCTCCTCACTCACTTCCTGATCGTCATCCTCATCGTCACTCTCCATCCTATCAGTGCCCCTCAGGTACTCGATGTCCATATCGATGCCATACTCCCCAAAAACAAACCCATTCTCCGGTTCACTTATCTCGCTTTTCGACCAAACGCCGTCATCTTGCGATCTATAATTCAATTAATTTCGTTCCATTTGGCAATATGAAGTTCTCACTTTTGATTTATTTTTCTACACAAGAAGTTATTGGCTGCGCTTAACGCACCACGTGATGAAACACGAAAATGAACGTTTTCAATCATAACAGACAAATATCCACAAGAAACTTGAATTTCATAACGCCTTATTTACTGCTTTTTTGAAAAATGAAGCAAGTGACTATTCCAAATTCTTAAAACGAACCTCTCCACCGAAGAATCGTTACCATTGATTTTATCAGACTCATCTAGTTGTTTCTGTTCATCGAGTTGCCGGATTTCTTCTTCAGTTTTACCGCAGATCCGCTTATGTGAACACGACCAATCCATTGCTTGATGCTCACGACTGCAATACCTACAACCGAACCATCAATTTTTATCATTTTCATGGCGAATATTTATATCAACAGAGAGTGCTTCTCTTCCACGACAACAACAATCACCGTGAATGATTACAAACAAGAACAACCAACCAGACGAGTTGACAACGAGCGCACTTCTTAGTGGCTAAACATCCACAAATCTGACAAAGGTTCGGATATGTGGACGGATTGAAGAAAGGATTTGGGACATCGCCATCCAGATCTGGATCGAACGCATTATCGTACGAATAGAATGCATTCCTGCGCGGTAACTGACAACGGAATGCTCGCATATTCGACGCGTCGTTCATCTGAATCAATTCAATTCGTTCAATGACTATCATCGCTAGATGGATACACCCATCCAAAGTTTCCATCCTATATCTATTAAATCCTAACTAGAGACTTGCCAATTAACAATAACGCTATTCTCATCATCAATAATAACATAACATTCAACTGATTAACTTATTTGACAGCTGAATAGAATTAAGAAGTAACATAGTGAAAAGCTATGAAACTTATTGAATACCATTTAAAAATTATGACAATGAAGATGAAAATAACCTTTGAACACTCGGGATTACGACAGATAAAAAAGAAAATGG